AAGATGCCTATTACTATTGGTGCTATTATGCTTTCTTTTGCTATAACTGTTCTACTTCTATTATTATTATTATTTAATTATGATTGATCACACAGCCAGCCAGATTTTAGACTGGATTTGGCATTTTTATCCATCTACTTAGTCTGTCTTAAAGACCTGGGATAAGCAGATGTTGTTGTTGAATGGTGTTTATTATTATTACTATTATGTGTAGATAATCTACTGTTAGATTCATAGACTAAAACTGGTGGAATCTTAATAATTCAAATACTAACAAAGGACCTAAAGGTAAAAGTTTCCCCCTCTCCAGTCAAGTCCTCTCCAGTCAAGTAGCTCCTAACCTACTACTTGGTAAGATAGAAAAATGTGGGTTAGACAGCATCACCACCAGATGGATCCGTAGCTGGCTGACTTGCCGTACTCAATGTGTGGTCCTCAAAGGAACTGCATCTACATGGAGGGAAGTGTGTAGTGAGGTGCCCCAGGGCTCTGTTCTGGGCCCAGTGCTCTTCAACATCTTCATCAATGACTTGGACAAGGGGATAGATGGGGAACTCATCAAATTTGCAGACGACACCAACCTGGCAGGAATAGCCAACACTCCAGAAGACAGGCTTAAGATACTGGACAGACTTGAACACTGGGCGCTATCTAACAAAATGAAATTCAATGGTGAAAAAAGCAAGGTTCTACATTTACAGTAGGCAAGAAAAACCAAATGTACAGGTATAGTATGGGGGTACCTTGCTCAGTAGTACTAACTGTGAGAGGTACCTCGGAGTCCTAGTGGACAATCACTTAAATATGAGCCAGCAGTGTGCTGCAGCTGCCAAAAAGGCCAACACAGTGCTAGGCTGAATTAAAAGAGGGTTAGAATCAAGATCATGTGAAGTATTAATACTACTTTACAATGCCTTGGTAAGGCCACTCTTGGAATACTGCATCCAGTTTTGGCCACCACGATATAAAAAAGATGTTGAGACTCTAGAAAAAGTACAGAGAAGAGCAATAAAGATGATTAGGGGACTGGAGGCTAAAGCTTATAAGGAAAGACTGGTGGAATTGGGTATGTGTAGTTTAATGAAAAGAAGGACAAGGGGGGACATGATAGCAGTGTTCCAGTATCTCAGGGGCTGCCACAAAGAAGAGAGAGTGAAGCTATTTTCCAAAGCGCCTGAAGGCAGGACAAGAAACAACGGATGGAAACTAATCAAGGAGAGAAGCAACCTAGAACTAAAGAGAAACTTCCTGACAGTTAGAACAATTAACCAGTGGAACAACCTGCCTCCAGAAGCGGTGAATGCTCCAACACTGGAAATTTTTAAGAAGAGACTGGACAGCCATTTGTCTGAAATAGTATAGGGTTTCCTGCTTGAGCAGGGGGTTGGACTAGATGACCTCCAAGGTCCCTTCCAACTTTTATTATTATTATTATTATAATTCTAATGGACAGTGCTCATTTCCATTTCTTAGCCGAAGGATCAGTGTTGTCTGAAGATCCTTTCCATAGTCATATGAACAGCATGACTATATGCCAAGGCACGTGGAACACAGTTACTTTCCCATCAAAGTGGTACCTATTTATTCATATGTGCATGCTTTGCATGCTTTTAGGTGGGAAGGAGCTGAGGCAAATAACAGGAGCTTGTCCTGTTATGGGGCACTTGTACCCAGGCTGTCAGTTTTTCAGCTGACAAGCACATTGTTTTTAACCACTGAGCCATCATATTCCCTATTATTAAGATAGCATCTAAGAATATAGGCAGTTCAAAGCAAGGTGCTTTTTTGTAAAATTAGAGTGTTCAAATCTAATAAATTCAATATTTCCAGATTTCAAGGAAGTCTTTTATGTATTTCCTCTAATGACTCCAATCAAGATTGGTGTAACAACATTTTTTTCCCATAAGTATTCAACTTTGACCTACAAGTCCATATATTTCAAATTTTTCCATTGTTTTTCCTCATTTCTAGAATACCAACATCAGTGAACCAGATTTTCTTTTTTTAAATCACTGTTATATCGGGCATGTTATGAATAAGATTCCTGTCTGTTTACAACTTAAAGCCCCTTAAGATCTTAAACCACTCATTTTCCGAAACCTACTCAATTTGATGGTTCTAGTAGTTTTTACTACATTCAAATTCAAACTTCTGACAAAGTTTCCAGTTAATAATTTTGGCATCTCAGTTGTGACTGCTTATAGTCAGTTTGTGAAATTTTGCAGCAGCTTCTGATCAATTGTTTCATCCTTTTTATTAGAAAGTAGACATTTTCTGTTGTTAGTTACAGTAAGATTTTGCCTAGTTGTCAGTTAGTTGTCAGAGCTTGTTCTTGAGCCACTAAAATAAAGAATTCAGTTTTTTTCTTTAACAATTCTGATATTAACCAACTCCATATGGGTTTTTAATCAACTTTTTTACCTTCCAGTATTAATCATGCAGCAGCTTGTTCTTCTAATTAACAAATTTGTTTTCAATTATTTCTTTTCTGTATTCAGCCTTCATCTTTGTTGTTTTCAGGAGATTTCCTTGATTGACATCCATAACAAGAGTTCTTGGCTCTTCTTAATATTGTCATTAAGGCCATGTTCCTCTTCCTGCTTTACCTGTAGAAATCCTTTATTCCAGGGGTCTCCAACCCCTGACATGCCAGCAACTGGTCTGCACAAACAAGGAAAGCCCCATCCACAGGATGCAGGCAGCACACAAAACCATGTCCCCTTTGGTCTGCGGAAGAACTTCTCTCCACATAACCATTCCCTGGTGCCCAAAAGGTTGGGGACCTCTGCTCTATCCCCTTCAGTTCTTGTCAAATAAAGCCATACATCACTTTTTGGGTTTTTATTATTATTATCTAGGAATCCTAGATCCTTGAGAGATAAAGGTTCATGATCCGGGTAGTTAAAGGAAAAGAAAAATGGGAAGAATACAAAACAAAAAACTACCTCTTGTTTCAGACCTCCATCTCTCTCTTCTATGCACATTCAATCATTTATCTTCTATTTCATGAATTCTGATTCCTTTTTCCCTTTTAGTTTATATTCACTACTGCACCTAAGGTAGTACACTAATATATAATAACAACAATAAAAATGAACACAGAATTTCATTATTTGCCCAAAATGTAGCTTAAATACATACAGCAAATGATTTGAAAGCAAGTAATTAAGTAATATATATATTTTATAACCATTTAAATAATAGAATAAAGAACCATGTTACCAACATGATTATTAAATAATATAATACAGATAATGTGAATGCCCAGAAATCCATCTTAAAAGACTTCATTTATTGGCAAACTCATATGGGAAATAATTATGGAAAATTCCAGATGCCTAGGTATTTTTATCAGAAAAGATGTTATAAAAAGTAGGTTTGGTAGTAGGAAATGGTGAGAAACTATGATGGAGCTGTATATTGTGCTTGATCAGAATCTACATGAAATCTGGAAGTGATACAGCCATAAAATTATTTAGTATCTTGGACTGCAGTATTTAGGATATATCTAGCATTCTTTCTAGGCCAGTTGGGCAAAGAAGCAAGCAGTTATGATTTCCCTCTTTTTTTTTTGAAGGATATAGAATTGATCTGTCTTAAAATATTTTTATCTCAAAATGAAACACAGCACTTCTTTGAGAGATGGGAACAAAGTAATAAATTTAGAAATATTTTGTGAGGATGTGCTAGATACAGTTCAGAATGGGCAGTAAACATTCTTTCTGAAGCATTCATAGGGGGGGAAATGTCAGATTTCTGGATCTTTAGAATTTGTGTAGAAGCAGGAGAAATCAAATGGTTGTTATACTAAAGATGAATATACTTAATCCACTTTTGTATATGGTCATTCTGTATATGAATAGCTCTATAGAAATGAGATCATTGTAACTACGGTATGTAATAGAAAAATAATGCAGGGACAGTATAGGGACTGTTGTTACAAGCAGAGGACTATGGTTGTTAGATTAAAGATGATGGAAAAATCATTTTATCTGATTAATTATAAACACCATATATTGTAACCATGGCCTCAGATGGCTTTTCACCCTGTTCAATTTTTCACATTTGGCTAATTTGCATCTGTGATTAAGTTATAATCCAGTAGTTTATCAAACAATATTATTTCACTTTATCATCAAACTCTTTCACTTGGTTAAAATCATAGTATGCTATCCTGGTGATTGAATCTCTTGGTACTATATATAGTGGCTGGTTGTGTATTGATAGGTTGCTAGAAGATCATCTATTCATCACAAATGTGGGCACTGTTTTAATTTTATCTTCCTCGACATAATAAAATTACTTAAAATTTTATAATTAAATGAGATGGGAAAACAAGTCTATATAATATTTTCTTATTGAGTATGATTCTTTAATTGAACTGTTGTTGGAAAATAATTTGATGATTGTAAAAAGGTCTTCCGAGATATCCTCATGGGTAGAATTTTTAGTGCACGTGAAATTGTGTTACAGGATGGGTGAAGTATCAACTTTGTGTTTTAGAATGCTATAATGGATATAAAATGTCACACCAAAGTTCTTGAAAAAAATAAGATAAAATGTTGGTCCCCATTAATAAGGGAAATAAACACAAATTAAATAAGAAAAGGATTGGCAAGTCTATTGTGCCCATAATTAAATTCAGTTTTCCAAGTTCCATAACTGCACAGTGAAAATGCACAAATACAGATATGGCACATGGGAAAATATTTAAGTTAATTTTAATATTTTGCATAAAAGGCACAATATACATTCATTTCAAGAAAATATATGTTTTTCCCTTTGCTATATTGTTTTTGTAGTTACTGTATATAAACTTTATAAATATTTGCCTTTTATGTAAAAATGTATATTCTTTTCAAATCTTTTGGGTCCACAATGCTATTGGAAAGAAATTACTTTTAATTTGCATTTCCATGATTAAAAATAATTGTCAATTGAAATGAAGTCATTTTAGATTGCTTTATCTGATATGTGCTTTTGTTTGTTTTCTTAACTAGTGAAAAAGGCCATAGATTTTAAATCTAGAGGATTTAAATTGTTTCCAGGGAAAGACAACAGCAACAAGTTTTCTATCTGTGAGTGTACTTCTTTTTGTTACTTTTTTAGTGCAAGAGTGAAGTTTGTGCTGTCTGTGTTGTTTGTGTGTTGTACTGTTTCACATATATCTAAGCATTTATGTGTATGAAATGTTTATGCTCCAGTCTGCATGATGAATATGCAAAGTGTAGATGTGCTGTGAAGAGTGACTCTGTATAACATTGGCATCACCAGAATATGTTTCTTTCACTGTTAATGTTCCAATTTAAATTAAGAATCCTGATCAGCTCAAGATTGACTCCATCTTCCATCCTTCCGAGGTTGGTAAAATGAGGACCCATTTTGTTGGGGGCAATATGCTGACTCTGCAAACCGCTTATAGAGGGCTGTAAAGCACTACGAAGCGGTATATAAGTCTAAGTGCTATTGCTATTTTTCTCTTCTCCTAAAAGTAGTCTTTTGCTGGAAGTTACATTAATGTAAGTAATAATGCACTATTATTATGTCTTCAAAAGAGGAATTGAAAGAAACATATTTTTCAATTAATATACAGGATGATAACCTTTCAAATTTGATTGAACATCAATGCATAAAAGGAAATAACATCCTCATTATGTATAATAAACAGATTTATTCTGCAATGGTAGAGTTTGCTTTGTATTATTTTTCTATCAGAAATATTTAGCAATGCAAGAAGGATTGAAATGTCAAGCTTTATTAATCATTTTTATGGGTTAGCAGAAAATAATAGAAAAAAAATGATTTTAAACAGGATGTCATATGATCTCTCCCCTCCACCTCAGGCTGCCAACGGGTGTCATTGTCTAATTTGAAGAATAAATGATGAAAGATTAGAAAGAATAATACATCTCCAAGCGTATATTGAAGCATACTCTGCCTAGTTTAGACCTTTTCTCTCCAGGTTTTACAGACTATTTAAATATTAAACTCTAACTTTTTGGAAGTGGTCTTCAATCCAGTCCAATTTTCTTTTTTTTCATATTTTCTTAGCTTCTCTTTGGTTGATGTAATGATTATCTATGAAGATTCTCAGTCATCCAGGTCACAGTTATCCCAAAGATGCTTGTTCATGAGGCAACTGTACTTTCTTATTTTTCTTTGAAGACATTTTGCTTCTCATCCAAGAAGCAAAACATCTTCAAAGAAAAACAAGAAAGTCCAGTTGCCTCGAGAACAACCATCTTTGGGATGTAATGATTATGTAATATACAGTGACATGAAATGATGGTATTAGAAGGCTAACAATGTTGAAAGCCTTGTTCATGACCCTCAGTCTGTCATTCACTATCTAAAGAAAATAAGGGGAAAAGATACCTAAAATAAATGGATAGTGTAAGCTTCTTTGCAGTTGGGGTAGAAAAACTGAACAGATAGAATAAGTCTTCTTGAGTCTTGGAACCTGAAGGTAATTGATCTGTACAATTGTACAATAATATTTACAAAACTAGACTTTATGGAGAATGAAAGACATGGGATTCAGAAAACTAGGTCACATCAAAAATTTGAGTTTTTTCTACTTATTTGTTATTATCTGGTTTCTGCAACCCAGATTTGGAATTCTGATAAAGGAGAATATTTGTAGCTCAGGGTTGAAATGATGGGTCCTTGGTGCTCTCTAGCTTGGTTGGTTTCTTGCAGATGTTTCATTATGCAAACCAAGTAACTTCATCAGTGCTAGAACTATTGCTTAACATATGATTTCAAGATAGTATGTTATCCAGGCATTTTATAGTTACTATTTTAGTAGCAGAACTTCATTTTCTGCAAAGGAAAGCTGTGCAATCTCAGGAAAAGACATGATGTTTTATGAACTCACAAATAGGTGCTTAATTGTGTGCTCATACTTTTTTCTAAAACATTTCTGAAGTGCTATAGATCTCTGTTAGGTTAAAACATAGTTCCAGATTTTATTTGATATTGGGCATGACTTAGGTTCCTACACTTCTGTAATTGGGGTTGCAGTTGAATTGACCTGCATCAGAATCTGCATTTGGAAGAGACTGACATCTGCACTGCCTGTAAGATTTTATTTACAGAAGAAAAAGTAGCTTTTTCATAGGATGGTCAGTAGTTAAATGACAATTTGTAATCCCACACCTGAGGAAGGGGTCAATTGATGTTAAGCCTCTAAGAGACTTTCTCTCCCATTTCTACTCTTTAAATGGAAAGAAACAGTTAGAAACATTCTGAACATCCCTATTTCAATTATGGAAAAGCACCTAATAATTTTGTGACCAATTGTGACCTCAGAGTTTTATGATATGGGGCAAATACAAATAAAATCAAAATAAGTCATTAAAATCAAGTGACCTCCTTCAGACATTTAGAAGGTCCAAAGGTTGAGATGACTTCTCAAACGTTGCTCATCCTGATCCACATGTCCCACCATATATTTGCACCTCTCCTGAATTATCCTAAAATGCCTCTATCTATCAGCCAATCCCAAAAATATCACAGATAGTGCCATCCATATCTGAAGTCAATTAAGTTAGCATGAGCATTGTGACATTTAATTTCAATAATATTAAAAAAGAGCTTCTTTAGAGCAATTTATTGTATTATATATTAAACAAATTATATAGCTGCCCAACACAGTTGACTCCAAGCAGCTTACAACATTGAAATGCATAACATAAAAATCCATGAAACACCATCCCACCCTACACATAACAGCAGCAACACAATCAAATCAACCACTTGATCAGCTCCATCTCCATTCATGATCCTCAGACCTGCCGATGAAACCACATCTTCAAGGCCTTCAGGAAAAGCAACATAATGGAGGCCAACTGTACTTTGGAAAAAATGGTGTTCCATGGAGAAGGGGCCACCACTTAGAAGGCCCTTCATCATGTTCCCATCAGATGTGGACCCATAACATAGCCTGCCTTCCTGTTTTGCTGAGCTAGGTGGATGTAAAAGGGGAGAGGCATCCCTTCAATTTTGTAACATATTCTATATCTTTGATCTACTTAGAGACTACATACAAGTAAAATCTACATGCCTATTTTTGCTAAGAGTATCTGAAATGGGGAAGAATGATATTTTAACTTAGCTTCTGCTGACCATACAACATTAAGAAATGAATATCATTTATAAGGTATATGAAGTCAGAAAACTTTTTAAAGAGCAGAGGTGTTGGTAAATGTGCATAATTATTACAGTCATTTTTCAGAGTGGAACTACTTTTGAAGCACTTAAATACTCTCTATATGCATAAAATGTATTGCCCCAAAGAATGAATTTTGTTTTATCTGTGAATCTTAGGGGGCTTATTTCCATACATAATAACAGTATTGGAATTCATATCCCAGATTTAGGTTAATGAGAACTTTCTATCACAAGCTTCAAAGGAATATTTAATGGTTATTTAAAATATTGTACATTCACAAGCCTATTCAGCTTCACAAAGTGGAAATAAACTTCCACTTGTTTTATTTTATTACTATACAATACTTCCCACCCCTAAACTTCAGCATTATAATTGATGCAATTCAGAATATTCTGCTCTAACTATAAAACAGATACATACAGTGTTGTATCATGCAAATATCAATATTGATTAAGATTTCTTAAGTGAGAGGCTTAGATTTTCAACTTCATGCATGAAAAATACCCCTTCTTCCAATGAAGGTAGTATTTGTAACCTTTTAATTAAACTTTATTTTATTTATTATTAAATTTATATGTTGGTCATGCCATTGTCTATTGACTCTGAGTGGCTTTCAAAATCATAAGAATGGTAATATAAAATATTAAAACATTTAAAAAACAAGAGCATTAAAGTTAACAAAAACTGAGTAAAACAGGAACCAGTTTATCAATGGGATGGAGGTGGAATCTTCTGAATAAAACTGAACAGTTGACTCCAAGCAGCTTACAACATTGAAATGCATAACATAAATTCAGTTGGTTTTATAATGAAAGAGATGGTTAGAACATTTTTAAGCATGAAGTGATGGTAATGTGCTGCTTCTTTTTTCTTGGGAAATGAATGCACAATGTGCTTGATTAGTTTGCATATTATGTCTTATAATGCTGCTACTAAGTTATTTTAATGTGACTAACCTTTTCATTTGCTCCCATTGCTACTAACATTTCACTTTGATGTTGCCACACTACTACTGTTATCACAGTTCCTGACTTAATGCTAAATACTTACTATATTTAATGGATAATCGAATCCCACTATTATTTTGTTAATACATAGTATACAACATTATTTTAGTAAGCAACAATATTTTGTATGATATTCTGTTTAATCCTTATGAAACAGTCATTTGTTTTTTTTTATTTTTAACTAGATATGTTAAGGGTTCATTAACTCCAAGAAGTTTTAAAATGTATTGCTAACCCATGTTAAGAGTTTCTATGTATTTAGAGAAAGTCTATCTCAAAATTTCAGATGTGTCAAATCAAATTAATTCCATTGGCATAAGCCTTCTTCCTGAAAACTATTCAGTAATCCACTTATGGTCTATCCTAATTGTACATTAACAGTAACATCATATATTATTTTTATTGATCAAATACTGTTAATGTAAAAAGTATAAAAGAGAAAGAGATCAGAAAGGATCAAAATTAGACAATGTAAAAAAAATCTGGAATTACAATGCAAATGACATTGACACATAGTATCAACAATACTAGTTTTCACACAGGGACACATTTAATCCTAATTAATTCAATTGAATATAGCCAAAATAATGATAATAGGGAACAACAGATATATAAGCAAAAATAAAGTTAAAGAGTGTTATTTCTATCTGTGCATATTTATGTTGTTTCAACAATCACAAGGAGAAGCAAGAAAATAAAGGAAACTTCAAAGATATCTTTGATCAATGAATCAAAATCAGGGAATATAACTCTTGAACTTAAGTGGCTATCATCCCCAAAGCCTTTAATTAACAAAATTGTCAAATAAATGCAGAAAAACAGAGTAAACAGAAATGTTAATTAGAAAGCAGAAATCAATCCTTTTTTGTCTGTGCTATGATCTTAATATTTAAATTATTTTTTAAAAAACAGTTTTGTCTTTCAATCATTATATTTACATATAATGATTATATATTTATATATTACACAATATATTTTTTGTTGTTATCATTACCCCTCTTCCTTTGGGAGCAAACTATTTTCAGAGGAAATGTGGGAGCGAAAGAGGAACCTTACCTTTAATTTTAAATTATTTTACTTGAAAAAGAAACCTCACCCATCACCAAAGTATGACAGTTTTCTCAATTTTGATCAGTTGAGCATATTATGTTGTACAAGCTGATGCTTATTTTCATAAAGTTCAACAAGAAGCTAAATATTTTTCCCTAGCCCTCTGTGAACATCTTAAAAGAAACATTTCTGAAAGGACATCATACCTCCATTTTTGTTTTTTACATTTTAATTTGCTTCTAAACATTTAGTAATGGGATAAATGAGAAGGAAGCAAACAATGAAACAATGAAACAAAGCAGGCATGAAATGGAGCATGTACATTCTAATTCTTTTTTGTGGTTAACAAAAGAATGTCCAGTAATAATATACTAGTATTAACCAGAAAGATTGACAAATCAGAAAGTATTGTATCATAATATCTCATCTCTTCTAATTGGAGAATAGGAACATACAGTGAAGTCTCACAGCATTTATCTAGATTATGACATTATCCACTCATTAATGAGTCATTAGAAAGCATGCAATTTTCTTTCCAGTGCCATTATAGGGTCTAGAACTTAAATCTAGAAGAATATAAAAGACCAAACTAGAATTCTACATGCTAAAGGAAGCATTGACCTTTCTTTTAAGAATGTTTCTGAAATTTCATAGAACAAAGTTAATCATAAGCTGAACAATACAAGCAAAATATAATACTTAATATTGCTCACTGTGCCTGAATTAAATACAGTAAAGATTGCCAATTCATAGACAAGCCTGTTGTCAATTTTATATTAACTATTTGGAAAATTGATACTTAAAAAGTGAGCCAAGAAGTCAATCTATGGAATTACTGCATATAATACAAAACTATGAATGCATATTATTAAAGGCTCAAAAGTGCAAAAATAAAATAAAAATACTAAAAATAGGAAATGGAAATTATATTAAGACAAGTATAGGTTTATACTTTGCAGGGGTAGTAGTTTGATCTAGTGGTTAGGGGACCAGGCTAGAAAGTGGGACACTGCAAGTTCAAGTCCTTTCCTTAGCCAGGAAAGCTGGCTGAGTGATTTTTGGCTAGTCACTCTCTCTTAGCCCAAGCCACCACACAAAGTTGTTGCTGTGTGGAAAACAGAAGAAGGAAGATACGTTGTATATGTTCGCTGCCTTGAGTTATTTGCAAAAATAATAAAGGCAGGATAAAAATAAATCAATAAAATGTAATATAAGAGAAAATTATTTATAAGAAAGGTGTATATTAGAAAAAATATGGAAAACATGGACATCTTAACTTACTTTTTAAAACAGTTCTCACTGTCATACATAAATTGAAAAGCAACATTTAATATTACAAATCAAAACAGAAAGAAAGAGAAAGAGAGTCTAACAAAATGGAAGATAATATATCTGTAACTTGAGGCAATCTGTTCAAATCCTGTTTGGTCTCAAAACCATTAGATAACTTTGGCATTATTTTGTCTCCATCTATCTACTTATTTCAAAGTTTGTATGCCTGTGTGTACATCTCTGTGTATTCACACACACTTTACCCACACAGACACCTATAAACACACATATACGGACACACACATATTTTAAAAAACTGTTTGGGTAAGAATGTGTGTATCGGTATGTATATTTATAAACAATTCTCTCATTGTGTAGTGATTATCAACTGAATAGCATCAGCAGTGTGCAAGATGGAAAACCCAGGAATTCCAGAAATTCAGAAAACATTTAGAAAAAATACTCATGAGACAGTCACAAAGAAGTTCAAAAAGAACTAAGTTAGGAAATAAATGCAATAAAATTGAAAAAAAATATGCACAAGGAAAATAGGATAGAATAGAATATGAAAACAAGAGCACACTGAAGATTGTACATTTTTATTGGACCACTTGTTTGTCCTATTGGGCTTTAGATTTTTCGGCGGGAGGTGTGAGTGTATGTGTGTGTTTATATGTGTGTGCAAGATAACAGATGAATTATAGAAAATATCATTTTATTACAACAGTAAGCCATCCAATTCTTTTTCTGCTTTCAAAAAGGCACAGTTACATGGGATCATCTAAAATTCTTGCAGTAATATAGGGAAGATTCAAAATAGTCCTTATTTCTCTGTTGCCATTTCTCAGTTCTCAAAGTTATTTTCAAAGGAAACACTCAGACTCAGTTCTACATCACAGTGACATTTATGCTTACAGATCCTTCTACCTAAGTTTGCTAGTAAATTCTTAATAAATTATTACTAAGACTAATTTAATACAAATTGGATAAACTGGAGAAAAATGGTCTTTATTCTCATTTATAGTCAGACTTGCAAAATGAAAGGTTCTGCAATTTCAAAGATGAGCCAAAATAACATCAAAGGTAATCTCAAACGTAGCCATAATGTTCTCACTCCAAATTGGAAACAAACAAAATGCTTTATATCATTTGCTTCCATCTTTATGTCCCCTAATACTAGTTGTTTAGTTAATCACCTTTTTCCATTATATCTGAACTTCTAAGCTATCATTACAATCCTTCTCTCTTTGGCTCTTTGGCTCAAAGGCATTGCACCCTAAGAACCTCATTCATAGTTCAGACATTGAGGGGAAAATGTGCAAATTGGGCAATGGAAATTGAGAATGCATACATATAATGCTACTCTTTTCCCAGTATATCACACCTTATTGGACCACGATTCATTAGGTCTTAATTTCGTCCTAGTAACTTTGTCACCTATATTATCAAAAGATTGCATCATGAGGGTTTTTTTTGCCAGCAATAGTTTATAGATATAGATATAAAAACAATTTACTCTTGTCACTGAGTGAATTATAAATTATAAAATAGATTTGCTCACAACAATATCTGTGATTTATTTTAGAATAAGAGAGAAATAGTTATAGTGTTTTCTAACTGTAAAGTATAAGTTAATGAATCATTGGTGCACCATTGAAGGATCTGAAGGACCCAGCCTGGGAGCAGACTGTCCTGGGGGATAGGAGGAAGTCTATGTGATCACTGAGAGTCAATACTAGTGTGATTGATAAACAGTTAATTATCCCATCACTGAGAATCAACACCATTGTGATTGATACAGTTAATTATCTGGTATTGTTTATTATTTATTTATATTAAAAGAAAAGGAAATAAAACAGAAAAGAAAAAAAAGGAAAAAAGAACTTCATATCCCTTGCTCAGCATTTGCAGAAATAATCTTAAAATGATGAAAATACTTTAAAGTAATTTGTATTAGAGCAGAACAATACTCTTACCATTGTCACCTCATACTTTCTTGGACAGCATTAAAGTGTAATGAGTTGTGCAGTGCTTCAAAATTCCCACTGCCAAGAGGCATCTAAAACAAGAGAGACAGGGAGGAAGGGAGAGAATGAATACCTAGAGAATAAATTGATAGGAAATGTATCTAGATTATTTTTTGCCACAGAACAGTAGATGGCAATACCATTAATACCGGGTATCTCTTTGGAACTCAGAAGCTAGGCACATTTGAGTCCAGTTAATTGGATGGAAGATTATTAGGGAAAACCAGAACTGAACTCAGAAGAGAATGGCAAAGCAGCTGGCACTATTGCCAAGACACTTACATGGACTTGTCCATGAAGTTACATAAAATCAAATTGTATTATAAACAAAATGTGTGCATTTGAGAAAATGTTCATTGCTAATATTATTTTAAATAAATGGGCTGTGTATTATTTTATTTGTTTATGGAGATTTTCAGTCATCCAGGTCATGGTTGTCCCAACGGTGCTTTTTCAAGAGGCAACTGGACTTTGTTGTATTGCTTCTCATCCAAGTAACTCTGGATGAGAAGTGAAACATCTTCAAAGAAAAAACAAGAAAATCCAGTTGCCACTTGAAAAAGCACCTTTGGGATATTATTTTATTTATTAATCATTTATTTGGCTGCCCGTCTAACATGAAGCAATACTCGGCAGTGGCAGTGGCAATTGACTAAAACAATGAGTTAATAAAAACAATCATTAGAAAAGGATAAACATTTTATACATTATAAGCAATGCATTATAAAAAGTAGCTATTAAAATAAGAATATTGTCAACAATTATCCCAGGTCAGTAAGCTTGGCATTTACTTAAGAATGTTTCTTCAACATAGCATTGGCAGAAGATAAGTAGAACTGAAGACATGGGATATAAAAAGACTGTTCTTACAATTGCTTTTAGGTCATTGGTCACAACATTTTGATCTATATCCACGTTGTTGAATATGAAGTAAACTAATACTCCTATAAATTTGGATACCAATAACATGTCCCATTTTTTATCTCTAATATAAGAATCTAGAAGATTTGTGATGTTTTATTATCAATTAAGTACCTAATAATTCCAGCTGTCTCATAATAAATGAAAATGTTATGTAGGCCCTTTTCTCATTTTCTCAAAGCTAATTATGAAAATTAAAGTTTAGGACCAGTTTCTTTAGCTTTTCTGTATTCAAAGAAATAACAAAGACAAACACACATTGGGCTTCTCTTTCTTAGAGTACAAATTGCGTACTAAAAAAAAAAAATCTAGCTCTTTAAGGTAGTATGGAAAAACTGCAACAATAACCTACATCTTTTTCTTTGATATTTTAAGATAATTCCTAGCTGTCTATTTTGTTTTTATTTTGCAGTAAATGAAGGAGGTATCAAACAGGCATCAAATCTGTGCCCAGATCCTGGAGAACCTGAGAACGGAAAACGAATAGGCTCAGATTTTAGGTAATATTCACAAACCCAAAACTTCACATGCATTAACAGGAGTGAGCTGGCTCAGGAATTCTGGGAGTTGAAGTCCACAGATCATAAAGGGATCATAGTTACCCACTGCGGCATTGAGTGTTACCTTTAAAATTAATCTGATATATCTCACTCCAAAAATGAACTTTCACATTATGATGAATGTTTTACTTAAATTTTCATCTATGTAGATATTTAAATAACTGTTAATCTACAGGTGGTCCTTGACTTCTGATCACATTCTGAGAGCAAAATTTATGTTGCTAAACAAAGTGTGTCATACCCAATGTTATGAACTTTTTTTTAACCAGAGTTGTTAAGCTAATCATTGCCTTGTTAAGCAAATCATGCAGTCATTAAGTGAATCCATCTTTCTCCCAATGATTTTGCTTGTCAAATGTTGGCTAGAAAGGTCACACTCATATGGCCCTGGGATGTACAGCCATTGTAAAGGTACATGCTGGTTGCCAAGTGCCTACATGTGGATCATGTGACCATGCTGTGATGGTTGTGAGTGTCAGGACCGGTCATAAGTCACTTTTTTCAGTGCCATTGTAATTCTGAACTGTCATTAAATGAGTGATTATAAGTCAGACAAGACATATTACGTATAAGAACTGAGGGTCATTTGTTTTAGTATTATGGTTATGTAGCATGCATGTATATATAGCTCCATCAAGAAATATAGCTCTAGATTGAAACAGCTTTCGAAAAATATAAGACCTCAACTTAATCAAGAAAAGTTGATCAAAGGAATTAATTTGTCACAGTGTAAATTTACAGATTTCATGTATTTTTGTTCATGGCTATTTATTCCAAATCACCTAATTTGGGCATTCTATGCACATATACACTGATAGCTAAATTTACCTGAATTTGGAGAACTGGCTGGTTTCTGGAAGTCCAGTCTAGGCCTCGGAGGCCTCCCAGGCGTATAATGGCCGACCAGAAGTGTATGGATACCACTTCTGGAAGTCCATTCTAGGCATTGGAGGCCCAGGCTTGCATCACATAATAGAACCGGTTGTTCAGGTATTTGAATCCCACGAATGCTGTGGAAGCAAGATTAGTTTATATTAGCACTTCTTCCTGTGTAGAGTAGTCTAAGTTAGCAATATCAGTGGCTTATGTATGTCTTTATATAGGGTATCATAATAATACTCTTTCAGGTTCATTCTGAATATATATTTCATTCTGGCAAAGTACAAGGATGATTATAGTTTCAAGAAATAAACAAGCCAATGTAAGTTATTATCCAGGAAACTGTTCAAAACATTTTGACATGGTTTTTGTTTTATGAGGTGTCTCTGCAAAGACCCAGCACATGGATCACTCTGATTTTTATGGATGATCAGTCTGTGAGACCTTCACATATCTACCTTGAATTGCAGCCACATCAGATCACTATGAAGTAATGCTGTAGTCATAGACAAGTTGTATTTATTAATATGAGGCTTTTAAGTACACTTAATTGAAAGTTACCATATTTGAATTAACATCATAAATCTATCTGCTCTTGCATTTAACAAAATGAGATAACTTTTAGATAACATAAAATTGTTCATGAACAGCAAAAATAGATCCATTTGAATATGTAATACTAACTACGATTACAGAAAGGAAAAATGAATGAGACATTTCACACATCTTCATTTGTTTTTAGACATACCTTTTTTAAGACAAACCAGAACTATCTTTTACCTTAAAGGAAATACTGATTGAATAAATGTAATAAGAAATTATTAAAAAGATTCAATTAAACTTTGAGAAATATAACACATATTAATTTGCTTTTGATATGTTCAATTTTAGCTTGGATTCAACAGTGCAGTTTTCTTGTGACGAAGACTATGTGCTACAGGGGGCAAAAAGCATTACCTGCCAAAGGATAGCAGAGGTTTTTGCAGCATGGAGTGATCACAGACCAGTGTGCAAAGGTAAAATATGAAAATCTGTATTCTTTCATGCGAGTTTTCTTCACTTTTTTCATGTTGCAATTAGAAGGAGATCTTGAAAGCTGGGCATCGACAGGATAGTTAAAAAATGTCAGTGGATAGCATCTTGACTTTTCTGACACATATCCCAGTTTCTGAAAACATTCCAACTGGAAATTATAGTTGAAATAAATCCTAGTGACTCATTCAAAAAGTGTGTGGTCAAATAGTCTTCATACTTTCAAATAATATGGTTTATTTTGCCCAAACAAACAAACAAACAAAAATTGTTCCATTTCTGTTTCATTTGCTATTGTCTTCCAGGTGTAAGGAATTTTGTTAGATGGTTACTAGGTTTTCTTAGCTAGGTCATATAGTTAAGTAAATACCATCACATATCTCCTTAGGCGAAGAGACTTGATAGCTAATGTATCGGAGGCTGAGAAAAAAATATGTTTAAATTCAGATTTAATTCCAGAATTTCTTTACTCCCTTCTCTCCAAAGTTGGAATATAGCCAATTCATATTGCCTCATTTCCAATCATAGACTTCTCTTCCATTCCTACCTTAACCAGAGAGTCGTGGTGGCAAAGTGGTTAGAATGCAGTATTGCAGGCTAACTCTGCCCACTGCCAAGAGTTAGACCCTGACCAGCTCAAGGTTGACTCAGCCTTCCACCTTTCCAAGGTTGGTAAAATGAGAATCCAGGTTGTTGGGGACAATATTCTGACTCTATAAACTGCTTAGAGAATGCTGTAAAGCACTACGAAGCAATATATAAGTCTAAGTGCTATTGCTATTTACATTTAAAGTGACTAATTTGCATATTCTTAGACATTAGTTTTTTAGAAATATATATTCCTTTTAAAAAAAGTAAAAATAAATATATATATTTTTGCTTTTATGGTGTCCTGGAGAATATCCCACTTATTTTGTTATAAAAAGCTTTTCTTCTTCCTTTCATAAAAACAGCTGGATTGTTCTTAAAAGAAAATCAGTAAATCTTTATTTGTTTAACCTGCATACACAAATTTATATTTTGTGCAATGCAGAAACTTCCATATGTTCCTCTTCAGAAGTTCATTTTAAGATTTGACTTAACTTAAAAATCATACTGTATTGATTCATATTTATATAAATAAATAATACTAATGGTAATTAGCACCTATCTCCCTATTGTTTAAAAATCTAAAAAAGTATAAGTGTTAGAATGTTTTTTGAAATAATATCACCAAGAATGTATACAAAAAATAGAAGCATGTTTTTGAGTGAAATATATCCTGTATTTTTTTTCCTAATAAAAAGATAGCATTCTTAAAATATAATTTACAATGCAGTTTTACATACAGTATATGCACCTAAAATTAGATGTATTGGTATTGACTTCTATTTATGCGGAAACAGGATTTTATTTTCCTATCCTAAAACCTTGTAGGTTTATTAGAAACATGCTGTGCTCTTTATACAATTAATTTTTATATGTGATATTCTTGTTCAATAAATCAGTTCTAATAAAATTTTATGGCTGTATAATATAGTGCTCATCAGTTACTTTTAAAATGATGTGAAACAAATTTTAAAAGAGTGGTAGCAATTAATATTCTGAAGTACTATTTTATTATAAATACAGAATATTTCAGCGGAATGCTTGATTTTAGTTTATCATTTGATAAGACATCCTGCTGTATGATTGCTTATTTCATATCACTCAATTGGCAGTTATTAGGCCATGATCTCAGATGTTTTTTAAAAACCATTCTATTAAGTGTCGCATGTTCTTATCTTGTGAAAATTTTGAATGTGAGCTCCTTATTTTTAATATGACTGAATATTACTTTATTTTTCCTACAGACTATTGTACTATATAGTATTCTGTAGTATGAGTATATGGCACTTCCAAAGATGGTTGATATACTGAAATGATAGGATTATATTTGTAATCATAAAGAGAAATATATATTAAAATATAGCAAAGATGGATGAAAATACCAGGAAGGTTAAACACGGTAATTTTTATTATATATGAACATTACTGAAAGTTAATTAGTGCCGTATAAAGTTATGTATTACCCAGTTTATGTAAGAGTAACTGGAGCCCTTGGCCATAAAATTTGCAATTAGTTAGAGCAATGTTCTACTTGAAGAACAGATTGCCCCAACATTTAAAGTATCTTACTAACTATAGATTACCAGGCTGTTAGCAGAAAGTATTATTAAAAGAAAAAAAATGTCCTATTATAAGCCATGAGAAAGAATATACTAACTTTCAATCTAATCTCAATCTACTCATTATTGGAAAGTAAGTGGTGAGCTGCTGAAATTCAAACATTAGCAGTTTTCACCTAGCCATACAAGGTGATGGGTGTTACCAGTTCTGTTCTGGTCTTTATAATGTTGAATTTTCCCATATAAAAAAAGAAAATGACTTAAAAGGGCAGTCAGCAGATCAGAATAGAAGTACACTGTCAGAATTATTTTTCACTGTCACACTGATACACATATGTGTATATAAGAAAAAAATGGCTTTATTTTATACTACTTTTTCTTATGAGATTTAATGTCAGTCAGCCTTTTATTCATTGTGTTGTGAACAATAAGCTTGATATCTGTATTATGTGGGTTTGCAGACATATTGTTTGGAAAAAAAATAATTTTACTGCAGTACAATGGGTCAATAAACCACAAAGATTCCTAAAATTCAGGCTTAATATTTATTAATCAAATTTATACAGCTGCCCATGTCACAAAAAAGTGACTGTCAGTGATCATATAAATAAATAAGATGAATAAAGTTTAATCCTGTTTTTACTATATGCTCCAGGAGCACTTCTTTCTCTGAAAGGCTAGTTTTTCATTACTTACTTGAACTGACATCTGTTTTTAAAGATAGTTCTCTATCTTATTTAGCTTCACTGGAATTCTTCCTTATAGATTTTTGGAATAATTTTATACCTGGGAAATTTTATTTTATTTATATAACTGCCCAGTTTAAACCAAACTCTGGGAAGCTCACAGCTGAAGGATTAAAAAAAATACATCTCTAAAATAAAATAGAAACAAAAACAAACAAACAACATATGGGACGATAGCTAAGCTTTCCCATAACACATTCAGCCCATGCCATTCTCATCTTATCCCAATATTTGTGAGAAAAACCAGGATTTAAATGTTTTACATAAGATTAAAAGGATAGGGGTCTGTTCTAAGGACATCAAGGAAACTGTGGTTCATTCCATTTGAGTAGAGGTGGGTATCTAATTTCACATTTTTATCCTGCCTCTGTCAATTATAATAGACTGGAACAAAATGAAACCTTCATAATAATATGTTTTGAAGTAGTTTGTGCGGCAATGGGATAAATTCCTACTTTCTTACCACAGAATCAACAGAACAATTGGACAAAACATATTCAGATAATCCTCAATTTATGACTACAATTGAGCCCAAATTTTTCTTTGCTAAATAAGATAGTTGTTAAGTGAGTTTTGCCCCATTTTATGATCTTTCTTCCCACAGTTGTTAAATTAATTTTTGCAGTTGTTAAATTACTAACACATTTGTTAAGTGACTTTGGCTTCTCCATTGAGTTTGCTTGTCAGAAGGTCGCAAAAGGTGATCACATGGTTCCAGGACATTGCAAACATCATAAATGCCAAGCATCAAATTTTGATCATGTGTCTGTGCAGATGCTGCAATGCCATTGTAACTTCAAATGCACTAAAAAAATGGTTGTAAGTCAAGGACCACCTGTAACTAGGAAGAAACAAGAAATGTGAAAACCATGGAACTATTTTCATGAACAGTTTTTGCAATCCTAAAATACCAATTAAGCACTGGTTTAAATGGTGAAGCAATAAGATGTAGAAGACTCTTAAATCTCTAAAGACAAACCTATAAAAATGGGGCAATGTTTCCTTTTTGCAGCATTCAGAATCTACATTGACCATGATTGCTGAAAATTGACAGCAGAATAACCTACCATTATGAAATGGAAAATATGTGAAAATTCACCCTGAAGTATTCAAATCACAATTCTGAGAGAAAGCAAGCAAGAAAAGGGGGTTTCAAATATCTACCCACCCAGTATGATATGGCTCTTCCTAATTTACAATATTCACCCTTCTCTTCTACAACAATTTAACTTAACCTGAACCCCAAACAGCTGTCATTTCTTGCTCTGGCACCATGAAAGTATAAACAGTACCAGAAATGAATGGATTATTTTTTCCATTTTTGAAGCATACTGCTCAAATCATTGAAACAGATATGCATTTCCCCCACTGGTTGAAACAAAGTATGGATTAATTCCTTTCTTTTTGAAGAAATTAGATTGCAGTGTTTTTAGGGCAGTAATTCTCACCACCATATTAGATCATCAAAGAGCTAATAACCAAATATGCTTAATGATTTGTTCGGCATTTTAGATTATATTTAAGAAAGCAACTCCATCGAGTGGTAATCGGGAGAAACAGGCGCTGCTTATTATGTTCAGCTTGCTATCTCAGTAGAAGAACATTGATTCTTTAGAGAAATGATTTTGACTGTGAAGGTCACTTTTAAAATTTTCTTGGCTTCAGTTTATGATTGATTTTTAAATTGCTTTATTTAATATGGAAGTTTGTTAGTAAAACTTTTGCATATGTATTTATTTCACAAATCTATGCACACTTTCACAGGAACATTATTCTTTAGCTCTGTTGAAACACATTTTCAAGGAAACAGGTGATCAGTGTCCAATGCAAACTTATTTATTTATAGTTATATCATTCGATTTATACTGAACCTTGGTATTCAACCTAATACACAATTGCTTTAGGTTTTTAGAAAAGCAAAAAGCAGAAAATATAGCTTCAGATTTGAAACAGGGATGTTTTCTAGTTGTGCTACTGAGGTATTGATTAATCCACTTGAACTATTACTTTTCTAGTATCCTTAAAGTTACATCCATAGATTCTAATATCCAAAAATGCTAGTTGTCAGAAAACTGAAATTGTGGTATTTGA